TTTTTTTTTTTTTTTTTTTTTTTTTTGGAGGAGCCGGGGATCGAACTCAGGCCCTTGCCACTTGCAAGGCAGGCGGTAGAACCACTGAGCCAAATCCCCGGAGCTGTCATGTTATTTTAAAAACTGATTAAAAACACGAGCTCTATGTTGTGGGTATCAAATGAGAATACAAAGGGGGCCGAAGTAATAGTGGAGATGATGTTTGTAGGGCACTTAAGTGTCAGGCACACATTTAGACCTGTGAGGGTCTCAGAAGAGGGAGTGTGTGATCCTGGTTCAGAAATACTTAGGTTGGACCCAAGCAAAATTGGAAGGGTGGAAAAAAAAAAGGGAGGACAAAGGAAAGTCTTTTAGGCAAGGGAAATAATGTGACCAATATAGAGTGACAGAAATGAATGAATGGTTTTAGAAGACAGGAGGTAATAGAGTCCAGCTATAGTGTAATGTGAACTCTGTGGGGAGAGATAAGATTGGAGCGGTAAGTTTGGGTTTAGTGGCTGTGTGTTCTGATTTTTGAGCAAGTGGAGATTATCTTGTTGGTAATAGAAAGCCAGAGATTTTGGTCAGATAATTCATGAAGAAAGAAGATCATGAAGAGAGAAGATTTTTAGGAAGATGTATCTGGTAGCAGTGTGTAGACAAACTAGAGAGGAAACTGGAGGCTGGGAAAACAGTTAGGAGACAGCTGTTGTAACAATCCAGGCATGACATAACCAAGTGGAAAAAGAGAGGGCAGATGCCAGTTTAAAAAGGGGACAAATGAGTGGCTTATTGACTGGCTACAAAAAGCAGGGGAATGAGAAGAAACAACTGCTATTGCCAGATTTTTAATATGTGAATTAAAGGATGATATATTTCCATTTTTATTTGGCCTTAATTTCAAATTTAATTTAATTTTTCTTTGTGGAGTCACAAGATAGATCTGAAGATACTGAGATCATGAAATGCTTCCTCTGCTTCTGGATGATAATCTATATAAATAAAGTACTGTTTGTTCTGGAGTTTCCTCAGAAAATAATATTATGTTTTTGATAGCAACTGATAATATTAAACCCACTGGAGAGCTCTGGTTTAAAACAGCGGGTAGGAAAAATCCTTGTCATAGTTGTAGAGTGATTTCAATGACTTTTTCTAGTTACTGAGATAATTTTGTATGTAGTAAGGCTCTTGATATGCTCTGTTTTATCTTCTGTACCACTGATCTTTGTAATTCTCTAGATAATTCTTGCATATTGTTCTTTAACCTTTTCTTAATACTTTCTTGCCTTTCTGCTCCTTCATGAACAAATTCTTGTGTAAAATTAGAATTGCAAGGTCAGAGGTAAATCATTATATTATTCTAGCTTTTTACTCTTTTTTTTTTTTTTGGCTACTGCTCCAGACAGCTAATTTTTTGGCTCATTAAATTGTTACTTCAGAGATAAAATGACCATTGCTCATCTCAAGATAATAATATCCATGCTCTAAAATGGCCTGTGTAACTTGTGTTATCACGGGGTTCTTCACTGAGGTGCTCTTTTCACTGTTACACCTTATTTCCCCAGGGATCATATCCCTACCCATCCCTCAGGAGAGTTACCTGTTTTGGATACTGTATAACTTTCATAGTGCAATATTTCTACTATACTTGAGTTTGATAAATGAATCCTGACATGAAGCTCCTTGTAAAGAAGGCATTCTGAACAAAAAAGAAAAATAATTCATTTCAAAAATCATGCAGCCAGAAGCTTGTGATTAGAAAGTGGGAGGACATAATAGAAAAAAGGGTAATCATCATGGTGTGGATTGCTGCTAGTTGTTATTTTCCAGGAGGATATTTTTATTCCCAACCTTCTGTAAGTGAAAGAACTGAGTCCACCACAACTGAAGGCTGCTGTTGTTACATGTGGTGGTAAGGAGTAAAGTAAGGACTTTTAAAAATTTCCTATATGATTTGCATTTGATTTTTGAAGCAGTATTTCTTTCTTTTGAATTCCCCTTATTTTGCAAAGGGGATCCATTAATAGTACTTTTAGTTAGGGTCAATAGGTAGGAAACGCTTAGTCTTTGAGAATCTAAAAATATTTGATTTTGCATTTACTGAGTAGCAAATTTAGCTGATAATAAAATGTCTGACAATTATTTTCACTCAGCACTTTAAAACAAGTCTCTTGTCGTATAACATCTTGTTGTTAAGTATCTGCTATTCTCTAATTGTTATTCTTTTCTTGGTCGTAGAGCATATGTCCTGCAATTTCATGTAGTATATCTCTGTATTACTGGTTTTGGAAATGCTCAGCTCTTTTGCATTTGTTTATTCTAGAATTTCCATTGGATGTGTGAGTCTTACATTATTCCCTTCTGTCTCCTCCCTGTTCTTTTATTTTTTAATCCAAATTCTGTGTTAACTCCTCATTGTTATCTTCCAGTCCACCAGTTTTCTCTTCTAACTATATGTAGTCTAGTTTTAGGCCTGTTGAGTTTTATTTCTTTCATTTCTAAACTTTCTAGTTTGTTTTTATTTACAGCTTCTTCTTCTTGTTTCATTTCTTCTTGGTTTTGTTTCATAATCTCCTGTTCCTTTTAAATATAAAGTATTTATTTGGCTCTTTCAGTATTCTAAATAAACCTGTTTCAAGCTTTGATAGATTGTTTCTTTAAATTAATTTTATTTTTAGTAAACTTATGTCATGTTGCTTAATTTTATTAATTGTCCCTCCTAGTGTAGAGTTTTACAAAACACAGGAGCTTTTTTTTTGTTTTGATTTCCAGTACTGATAGGTCCTACTTTTTGCATTGTCTTACAGTTGTACTTGCTTGGCCATTGTGAGTTCATGTCTGAAACTTGGGTTGGCCTTTTCCTGGGTGAGCTTGACACCCAGTTATAGTGTCCTCGTTACAAGTAAATGGTTTAGGGGAGGAGTTATCTCTGTAGATATGTTATATATACTAAAGTCTGCCATTGAATTTTATAGGGAAATTTGAGGTATTTTGGAGTTGTTTGGGCCTCTAAAGTCTGTATTAACATAATGATGAAGACTGACAGTTCATAGTAGTTTTCAGTATGCTTAGCTATGGCGAATTCTAATTAAAACAGTTCCTTATTGCTGTCTTTAATATTTGACCTTTGTAGAGTAAAAGCTTTTAGAACTTTACAAGAAGCTCTCAAGTGTAACTATGAACACTGGCAAATCTGGGAAAACTACATTCTCACCAGCACTGATGTTGGGGAATTTTCAGAAGCAATTAAAGCATATCACCGACTCTTGGACTTAAGAGACAAGTACAAAGATGTTCAGGTAGGATATTCATATTTTGTTATTTCAGTTTGTATTTTATATTAATCCTTGACTATGTATAATATAGTGTTTGGATTTTGTTAAGGACGTAATATATAGACAATTATTTTCATTAGTCAGATATTTTTAGTTCTATACTCATTCTAGCATTCCAGTGTTAAATATGTCTACTCAACTATAAATAATATTACTGTGACTTAATTATGAAAATCTGACATGTTGTTTAACCATATATACTGTCAGATAACAGAAGCTATACACAATGCTCTTTGCACTAATGATTTGAGTAACTCAGTGTTTTCTGAATTGTAATACAGTGGTACCTCAGTTCACAAACTTTCTACAGTTCTGGTCGCAAATCTAATTAGATGACAATGTCAAATTCAATGGTTAGGTTCAGTGTTGACCTTATGGGAAAATTTGATTCGGTTCTCATCCACTTTGGTTTGTGACCGAATTGCGGAGAGAACTAAGTTTGTGAACCGAGCTACTATACCTGAAGTAGATTTTTGACTCACTTATTCACTGTTTCAGCCAGCTTTTACTTATACTTTGAGTATAAAAACAATATAGAAATGATGAATAACGTTTTCTTTGCAATGTTTAATGAGATAATCCTTTTTTGGGGGGGAAATGAAGTTAATCTTTTCAGAAAACATAGGAGATCTACAGTCATTGTATTTTTTATACAATGAGGTTAAATAAATAAGACCTCAGGTTTAATTATGATGGAAGGTAATATGCAAACATAGGGAATGTAGGCGCTTAATGGATTATGAATTTAGAGCCGTTGGAAATTTAACACTTTAATACTTGTAAGAATCAACATTGCTATTTAAAATGTTGGATTTAGAATTAAGAATAACAAGAAACAATGTGTAATACATGATAATGCCTCTTTATTATCTGTACCTCATTTATTCTAAAATACAGTTTATCTAGGCATGGCTTAGAGCTCTACTCTAGCCTTTGGCTCATTTATTTGGCCTTACAAACATAGCTGTACGATTGACCATTATCTTTAGGCTCAGGATCCGTACTATTCACTTGGAAGGTCTTTGGCTTCAAGTAAAACCATACTTCCTCTTAGAGGAGTTGTGTTGGCTGCTTCAATTACTTTTTTTTTTCTCTCACTGAGTTTATTGGTACATTTTAGGTATACAGTACAGTTACATTCATTATTGGGATCTTGTACCTTTACATGACAGGTCTTGGTTCTCATTTTTTTCCCTTGTCCCTGCCTGCCTTCAATTACTTTTTTTTCCCCTCTCCTCCTCATCTTCTTCCTTGCTTCCTCTTCACTCTCTTCTCCCTCCTCCTTTCATACTTTCTAAATATTATACATTCACTATAGAGAATGAACTTGAATTTACAGTGTAAAGACCACTTCAAATATGAATTAAGTCACAGCAGAGCCTGGCATCCTAAAGGAGATATGAGCTCTAGCAAATCCACTTGCCCAGTCCCCCAGCAGTCTAGCACTCGTCTTATTCATGTGGCTAAAATTCTCCATTGATGCAATTCTTTCTCCTTCACATTTCTTCTCTTGGCCTAGAGCACTGACGAGGCTCAAAATGCATACCACTGAGGATATTACTTATCTTTTGTGTACTTCAAACATGACCTGTTAGATTATCTATCTTTACCAGGAAAGCTTTCTGAAACCTATTCCTGAAATCTCAGGGTAAATATAAATGATATTGGCATTATATTCCATCGTACACTTGAAGTTTATTCTGTTGTTTTCTTTCACATTTAAAAAAATGTGCATGAAATGAAGTACAAGACTTATTTAGTCATCCGTGCTACAATTGCAGCATTCTTTGGCATCACAAACTGTCAGAGCAAGAAGGGGCCTTAGTAGAGTCTCCCCAGGCTGGCTGGATAAGCTTATTCACCAAATCAGAAGGGACTGTAAAGCTCCCCTCATTCCTGATCAGACTAGAGAGGGAGATTCTCCACCACACCAATCAGCTTTCCTGTCCCATTAGTCATGCTGTTGGCCACCTGGCTGTGTCATCTCTGTCTTGGGATTGGCTTCCTTGGTCAGTCTGATGCCCTTAATCTTCTGTCATGTGCTTCCAATTCCAAAGTCATCTGTTTCTCTTTGTAACACGAGTGAAAAAATCTTCTCTAAATCTATACTTTAACCTACACTAGTCTTTCATATCTCTTAAGTTTTCGGCACAATTGGCTCACCAATGTGGCTTTTTGGATCCTAAGAAAATCCTGATCGTCCTTTCGTGCTTGGCAGCAAAAGGGTTAGTTTTGTATAAAGAACCCATGTGGCTAGGTCTAGGCCCTTCTATCCCTGTAACAGGTAAGACTTGTGTGGGTTGAGGTATGTAAGAATTGAAGGAAGGAGGCTTTTCTGGTTTCCCTGTCATTATACTTCCCTGCTTCCCAAGGGACATAGAGCAAGTCCAAGTGGGACATGGTAAAGCAATAATATCTAACATCTACTGAGGGTGTTCTGTATGTCAGGCACTATTCTAAGCGTCTTATATGTATTGACTCATTTAATTCTCACCACAGCTGTGTGGGACAGATTTGTATTGTCATAAGCTATATCTGACTCTGGATCAGATGTGTGTGCCCCACCCCACCCTGCCCATTACTTTCTTGTTTTAAGAGAACTAATGATATGAGGGAAAATAACTGTTCAAAGATTGTTTTGAAAACATATTTTTTCTACATAATAAGGTGCTATAGGAGCCCGGGATTTAGCTCAGTGGTGCTGCCGCCTGCCTCGCCAGCACAAGGACCCCAGTTCAATCCCTGGTATGAGAAAGCAGGGGGGCGCGCTCTAAGTTCACTAATGTAATGTTGATTTTAGTTGACTTCAGTGTATGAAGTATGCCA